TCAGCAGTTAAGAGCAGAGAACATGGGTTCAGTTCCCAGCAACCACATGGCAGCTCACACCTGTCTGTAACTCCAAGATCTCACACCCTCACACAGACATACCTGCAGGCAATACACCAGAGCATGTAAAATTAAAATAAATAATTTTTAATTGAAGATGTTAAAGAATTGTCCCCTTGCTGTGCTGCTGTTACACAGAGGCTTCTACAGTGCGGAGATCTGAATTAACAACGGAGTTCTGATCAGCTGTTCACCTAGCTCTGGTAAAGCACTGCTGCTATCATAGTCACAAGCTCAAGGTAACATTTCCTTTGCTTGTCTTCTAAGTACAGACTTAAAAGTGCTTCTCACTGTGCTGAAAATGCCCGTGAAATCTATATACACCCAGTCTTCCAGAAAGAGGGAAGAGATCCAGCTTTCACCATATTCATACTGTATTCATACTGAAAATCAAGATCAAGGGAGCTTTTGCTCTTCTGCTCCGTGGAAGGTTTCTATCCTCTCTGAGCTCACCTTAAAGAGTGTTCATACTTTTAACCCAAAGGCATCTCCCAAGCTTCTATGACACAAAGGAGTTAGTCTACTGCCTTTTCTACAATGTGGATTTCAGTACAGATTACAAACAATGGTAATGCTAACATATCTAAACATTTCTTTTTGTAAACTTAAAAATTCTCGTAAGCTTCAGGAAATCAACTTGAATCCACCTCTTATGGGTCAAATGGACTCCAGATAAGTACTCCTAAGTCCCCCATGTCTCTGTTTCTGAGTGTGACATCTTTTCCTCTTTCCCTGATCTTGGAACCTCCCTCCCACAGTTACCAGGACTATGGGCTTGGAAATTTGAAATGTATGCCCTGAGTAAAAATTCCCCCTATGTAGCTGTATGTTTTCTCCAGTCCCACCCAGGCCTGCAGCTGCTCAGACCCAAGTAAACACACAGAGGCTTTTATTATTTTGAAACTATATGGCCTAATGGCTCAGGCTTCTCACTAGCTAGCTCTTACTTCTTAAATTAACCCATTTCTATAAGTCTATACTTTGCCACGGGGCTTGTGGCTTACCAGTTCTTTACATCTTGCTTCTCCTGGCGATGGCTGGCAATGTCCCCTCAGATCTCCTTTCTCCTTCTTCTCTCTAGTTAGAATGTTCGGTCTAACATATTCTGCCTCACCATTGGCCAAAGAGCTTTATTTGTCAACCAATCAGAGCAACACATATTCACAGCATACAGAAAGAAATCCAAAGCACCCCTAAACTCCTTAATTGTGCCTTCTCTTCCTAGGCTATCTGTCACAATAGATAGCAAATCAAATACAGTTATCTAGCAACTAGTCAGCTCAAGGTGTTGCTTCAGACTCTGCATCCTAGAGGCTCCAAGGTGACTATCCCCAAGTGGTTCAACCTCACAGATTACTCCAATTCAGCCTGTACTTCACTAACTCCAGAAGATGCTACAGAGCCTGGACAGTGAGGGAAACAGCCTGCTCTTCCTGGCCTTGGCCAACATTCCAGCTTTCTTGGGTCACCAACAATAAAATCCCAATGTAAGTATGAAGTCATCATGATTACATCACTCCTTGTAATGAAGACTATTGGCATCCAGCCCCTTGATAGCCTTCTCCCCGGGTCTGAGGAAGAATCTACAATCAGCTGATAATCTAATCCTTGATGATAAAAATGAATCTACATACACAAATCTCTTTAATTCATTCACTTTATTCTTGAGTCAGTTCTCTCTCAACACAACTTCTATTCTGCTCTCATATTTAGCTCCTTTCTTGCCTGATTTCTCTCTACATTTTTCTGCTGTTCCCTGTAAATGCTATCAAAACTCCTTCATCTCGTTCTGCCCCACCTAGGTTCTCATCCACCTAGTTCTTTCCCATCTTAGCTCCTCTCCCATCTCATCCTCTCTCATCTTGTTCTTCCCCACCTAGCTCTTCCTCATCTTCCATCTCATTCTTCTAGTTCTCTCCTCTCATCCTCTAATCTAGTCCTTCTCAAGTCTCTGAGGTTTACAGTTATATACCCATGCAATAGCAATGCTCTGGCTAGGGAACAGTCACCAGGCTTGAATTCCCTCAGGGTCAAAAGGAGGGGCAATAAGACCCACACAAAAGAGCAGGAATTCTCAACCATCACCTGCAACCCAGAAGGGAAGTGACTAATGGGGAAATGAAACAACTAGGGGCTAAGTTCAGCTAAAATCTAAGCAAAGTGATTTTATGTGTACAAACTATATTTTCAGAAGTGGTTAGGTAAAGTGTTAGAGTCTATCAGTGACAAGTGAAAATAAAATTGTCTTATTTTCCTTTGGTTCTTTATCTGTCCAGCTATCTAAGCTGCTGCCTGTTTTCTGCCAGGGCAGGGAGTGCACTCAGGGGCTAGGAAACCTGGGTACAGCTAGGTGCACCTGTTAATTGTTAAGGGTGATCTGGAACTAGAGATAATATTTGGAAAAAAAGAATTTTGCACTTAATTAGCACATCTGTCAGGCCTGGGCAATAGTCAGTGTAAATTTTTACCTTCTCTGACAAATGGTCTGTTCTTGAAAAGTCTGGAAAGTTTCTCAGCTAAGACACTTTGGTCCAGAGCTGGTTCTGGCTGGATGTTGCTAATGACAATAGTTACAGAGAGGCTTGATATTGAGTTTTGGCTGTGTTATTGCTGTCAGCACAGAAGGTTATCAAAATATTCCATTTTAGAGGGGAAATTGTGCCCAATGAATGATCAAACACACTGTTCCCAAAAAAAAAAAAAAAGGGATTTGAATGGAAGAGCCACAATAGCATGCAAGTATTTTCTTTTTCCATATTCAAATAAAGTCCTACTTCATATTTTTGTGGTTCCCAGCACCCTTATATATTTATTATCAAAAAAGGCTGGGATGTTAGGTATCAAACCTGGGGCAAATGGCTACCTGAAGTGCCCATTAACATATAAAAGTGGATACTGGGCATTAGGTGTTCCCAGCATCCCTCTGTCTCTACCCTCATTGGCATACCCTGCCCCCTACCCTGAACTCTCCAGCCCAAGTATTAGTCTGGGCTCTCCTTCTCCCAGCTCCCCTAGCTCCTCTATAACTCAGCCATTTTGTCTCTGCCAGTCTTTTGTCCAGTCTCTTGGTCCAGGCCACCCCTCTTGGTCATCAGCTCCTCTCCCCTCTCTCCCATCCCCCCTTTGCTCACATGGCTCAGGATCATGTTCACCCAGGACTCTCCCAGATGTCCCTGTCACTGCCTATGCCCTCCCTTTTATCTACAATAAACTCTCTTCTCCTCCATACCTAGAAACAGTGACGTCCTACCTTTATTATCTACTTTTTTTATTCAAGGGGAAGATTGTACTTCTGTTTCAGAAGGAAGAGGCAGATACCTCTGCAGTGACAGGTCTCAGCTCACACTAGAAATGCTGATCTGGTGAGTCCAGCAGTGTCCAGCTCTGTGGGCCACAAAGAGCTATAGCACAATGTTTCCACTTTGCAGGGTAGGTTGGCAGCTGGTTGAAGCTTCTGAAAATTATAGCAGAGATTTCTCCTCTTGCTGGTGTCTTAGTTACTTTTCTATTGCTCTGAAAAACATCATGGCTGGTCCATGGTTGGGCACATGGTTAATCTCAGCACTCAGGAGGAAAAGTTACTTGATCTCTGTGAGTTTGAGGACAGCCTGGAATAGAGAGCTATTTCCAGGACAACCGGTCTATACAAAGAAACCTTGTCTCAAAATACCAAAATATACCATGACCAAGGCAACTCAATGAAGGAAGGGTTTTATGGGATTATGGTTCCAGAAGGATAAGAGTCCACCATGGAAGGAGGCAGAAGGTACTAGAGCAACAAGCAGGCTGAATCTCACACCTTGGACTACAAGCAGAAAGCAGACAGAGTGAACTAGACATAACATGCGTCATTAAACTCTCAAAGCCTGCACCAGTGACATATTTCCTTCAGCAAAATCACACCTCATAAAATATACAAACCGGGGACCAAGTGTTCAAATGTCCAAGACTATGGGGACATCTCATCCAAACCACCACAGCATTCAGCTGCTCACCTACTCTCTCCAGCAATGTGTTTGGTAACTGAAAAGGATGACCAGAGGGCAGGACACGGTGGTCACCACACCTTCCCTTTCTGTCAGGAAGCTGGAAATGAGCTCTGGCTATGGACTGTCTTCTGGTCTCCAAGTCCTCCTGCCCCCAGTGCCTTTGCTCCCAGCCTCCTCTAATGTAAAGCCAGAGCACACTTGCATCTATGCCTGTCTGCTGGGTCCTCATAAACGTTTCTTCAGTCCAAACACCCTGCATGAAGCACAGCCACCTCTGAGAAGAGGTGACATACACAGAGGAGAAAGCAAACAGGACTGGTCCAGGAAGCAGGCCCAGGACCAGAGGGACTTCTCCTGAGGCAAGGGCAGAGCCTAAGCTGTGGAGATCTGGGTTTGCTCTGTAATTCTTTCAGGCCTGGGCACCAGCAAAACAGTGTGGAGGCTCCTGCAGCATGGCAGAGTGCAGGAGGACTGCCAGCCTTAGGCAGGTCCTTGCTCTAAGGCCACCCATGATTCCAGCTCAGTTCTTTCTCCTGGGTCCAGGCTTCCTGTTCCTTGCCACATACCCTTCCTAGGCCTCCTCCTGCCAGCACTGCCCACTGACACCACAGCTGCCCCTCCTCCAGGCATTGTCTCCTCCCTGAGGCCCCTCCCACTGACCCCAAATTCCCTTCAGCTTTCTCTGGGGCCTGAGCCCTGAATCAAGTATCTGTTTCTCTGCACAGTCTGAATTAATTTCCCAAGAACCAGAGAACTGAAACTGAAAGTAAGTCTGAGCTGACAGAGAAATGGAACAGGGAGGGGGAGGAGGAGGGAGCAGGAAAGAGAGACTGGAGGTAGTGAGAGGGAGGGAATAGGAAGAAAGGGAGCCAAACAAAGCTGAGCACAGGGTGACATCATCTGAAGTCACTGAATCTGCTGGCCTCATCAATATGCATTTTAGAGCCACAGAATCAGTGTACACCAGGATCTGCTGGATCCTACCTACAAGCCCCACCAGCATGGAATAGGTGCTGGCCACAGACCCTGCTCTCAACCTGGAAACAGAGGTCAAGACCCTGTGACAGGGCTCTGCTCCTTAGGGAACATAAAGGGAGCCTGGTGTCTGTCCTGCCAGTTCCCAGGACAGGCAGCTCAGGGAAAGGACTGCAGCATCAAGTCCCTGGGTTCTGAGGAGGAAAGGCACTTACTTCCCTGAGTTGGGGGAGGTTCTCTGCAGAGCAGGGCTCTGCTTTGAATACAGGGGAAAGATGCAGCAGGGATCATGGCCTGCCCCCTTTCTCCATGAAGACAGCACCTGTCACCCTCACCAGTCCTGCAGGAGCAGTGTGTCCAGCCCTAGAACCTGCTGTATAAGAGAGGCTGGCAGGGTTCCTCAGTGATTGCTGGGATGGTTTATCTCTACCCCTCCCTGGTACAGCTGGAATGGCCTAGTGAAAAGGGAAAGCTAGTGTAGGTTGTATTCAGATCGCAGGAGGTCACACTGTTGGAGTAGAAGGTGCAGTGGAGAGCTGGTCTAGTCCTGAGGGAAAGCAGACAACCATCTGAACTGGTGTCCATATGGCAGGTCCTGGTGGGTTGAGTCCAAAATAAGCAATTTCTAGAACTTAGGACACGGCCAAAGGCCCCTGAAAGTGAGTTTCATTTCTGAGTTCAGTTTGTGTGTAGAGGGGGTGGGGTGGGCAGCAAGCTTAGCTCATTTCACTAACTTTCAATTCTCCACGGAAAGGGGAGGAGCCAGCACTGTTTAAAGAGGTCTGAACCCTGGCAGCTGCACACTCTATCACTGAGCAGTGAGTCAGAGTGGTGAGTACAGCACAGGATTCTGTGCAGGGCTGGGGTGACTCTGGGTTCCTTGTAGATCCTGGTGGGCACTGTGGGACATTTGTCAGTGCTGTTAAATAGGAGCATCAATGACAGCACAGGCAGGGCTACTGGAATAGACACAGTGGTCCCCACGCAGCTTCTGATTTCAGGGGACAGTCTGAAACAGCCCCACATTTCCAATACCTCTCTGCCAGGAGGGATCAGGAGAGGGTGTGGTCCTTAGGATCCCAGAGGTCTTGGGCTAAGGCCTAGATGAGAGGTTTCAAATCCCCTGCTACATGGGCCAGGAGCCCATGGGAAAGGAGATCAAAGTCTCTTGATAAGGGTGGGAGGAAACCATGTGACCCAGGGACAGGCTTTGAAATGCAGACAGAAGACTCATTTGGGGATCCTGCTGGAAGGGCTGGCAGAGGATCTGTGTAGAGAAGCACATTCCCAGGGTCTTCCCAGTCCCCAGAGAGGAGATGTCCTGGGTGATCTGAAGACCTACCTCTGCTCAGAGTGCAGGGTGTCCCAGAGACCTTCCATTTCAAAGGCTCAATTGCAGGGGGACATGGAGGGCAGGAACCTAGGAGGAGAAAGGGATCTCTGTGGACACTTTAGCACCCAGACAGGCCTGGGAAGGCTTCCACTCCTGAACAGCCAGGATAGCGGGTGGTTAGGGGTTCTAATAGTGAAAGGGGATGAACCCGATTCCCATGCTGCTCCTGTTTCCAACTGGGCTCAGCATGCTTTTCTAACAGGCAGAAACCCAGGGGAACCCTGCCATTGGATCTTGTCCATAATAAATAGTATATAACACATGAGGGCCATTGGCAAATGCCCACTGTTACTGTAGAGTGGAAGTGTAGCCAACCACACCAAGGAGAGCACAAATGGGCACAGGTATGTCCGGATAAAAAATGCTTAGAGCCCACAACACCTGGTTACTTGTGTGGACCTGACCCTGAACTTCAAGTGAGGCAGGAGTCTCCATGAAATGTGATGGAGCTGCCCTGATGGTCTCTGTACAAAGGGATCTGTAGTGTGAAAGAGTTAGGATGTAGGGAGACAGGAAGCAGGGTATCATGTAGCTCTCCTGCAAATTAGGGTTGATATAGTGTTGGGAGCAGCTTGTGCTTGACTGGACCAAGATCTAGATGGGCAGATGCACTCACCTCAGGTTGACAGTGCAGCTGGGTGCTCAGGGCACTGAATGAACAGAGGAGGATGTGATCCTTGAGGATGCTCTGCTCCTGAAATCCACCAAGTTGCAAAGGTGATTCAGGAGAATTGTACATGCTTGTGATTTGCTGACAGAACATAGGGCTTAGATGCCAGAAAGGGAACAGACTCCCTGTATCCTGTTTTGACTGCTCACTAGGAGTCTTTGGTCATGGAACACAAACCTGGGGACAGTCATATCCCTTGATTGTGCAGTGAGACTATCAAGACAGCCATGGAACAATAGATGAGGGTCAATCTGAGAGTAAAAGGTATTCATTCTGGAGCCTGGGACCCCTTCTAATATGAGGTCTTTCCAAAGCAGGGGAAGGAGAGCTGTGTCTGAAGAGCATTCTAGATTAACGGCATCCATGAATGCATTTAGAATTACTCCCCTTTCATGATCCTCCTCCCACATCAGAAATAAACACCTGCCTCTATGAGGTGACATGAATGGGTAACGTTGATGGGAATCATAGTCTCCTGGGGCATGTAGAGAAGGAATGGAGGCTGTAATACTGTTGTCTCTGATGTATGTGAATCTTAATCAAGGTCTGGATAATTAGTTTCTAATTTATAATCCCCATTTCCAACAGAATACCCAACAGGAAGCAGAAATCAAAGATGGTTCTCAGTACAGAAGAAATCGGAAGCTCTACTTCCTTAGCCTCACCCAGTGACCCATTGCCCAGTGGAGAGACTGACCTAGGAGAGAAAAACCAGGTATGACCATGTCCATCTGAGGGCTGCTGCTTTATGTCACATCCCCTGCAGATGGTGGCTTCCTTGACCTTCCTGGGGCAGGATGTTGATAGGGGTCTACTGTTCACTTTTCTTGGGCCAAGGTGAGACCAGTGAACCTCCTTGGTCCTTCATGGGATGCCATCTTGTTCTGGGAGAGATGGTATCATTAGGGTCTGTCAAGGCCCTGGTCAGTGCTATGCTGTCCCCTGTCCATACCATGGCTTAGTCTTCAGCTCCACTGTCAGGACTCACTGAGACACTATCTCCTGGGAGAAGATGCTTGGGTCTGTTTTCATAGAGCTGTAATCCAGTTTTGCTGGCAAACAAATATGCTCTCTGGAAGGAAGCCTGTCAGCCTGGTCTCAGCCTGACCTAGTCAGCTGTCTGACCTTGGAGGGTCTTCCTCCCTTTAGCAGTGGGTTTTCGATCTCCACAGTGGGATCTTCAGAGTGGCTGTTGAGAGAAGTCAGAGCAGCTCTTTCTGGTATATAGAACTGTGTTAGATGTTGTATTTCTTTAATGCCCTGTCCCATTCTGTGAGGTATATACCTTCTCAGCTACAATTTTATCACTATCTCAGGACAAGAGTCTTTTACCTAGTGACACAGGCAAGGTGACTCACAGGAAGCCCTTGAGGACAAATATATAGAGAGCATGATTAACTTTCTTGTATTCTGGCTTCTAATGAAGTCAACTGTGGCAGAGTAAATTTTATATCAGCATGGCTTTTTGCAAGAAGTTTGCACTTGGGAGCCCATCTCTGACCACCCTACAAAGAAGTCAAATATGAGGTGACCAAGAAAGACTGCAGTGACATCTTGATGGCAGTGATAGAGTTTTCTGCTAGAGTAAAGCTACAAGCTGACCAATGTGAGAATAAATAGATTAGTATAATAAACACAACTGTAGACACCTGCAAGTTATGTGGGTGTGTCTCAGAGGCTAGTAATAATTTTTAGAGCAACCAATAGCTAGGAGGTTGTGAGGATCAAAGCTCGAGTCAGAAATGGATAGAACGGGACTTCAACTACTTCTGACTAGGCAGGCAGAGCATAAACAATGCACGATCATCTCCCTGGTTGGGCCAGAGGACGTGTATAGAGTGTTTGGTGTGCCATTGGCTCAGCCCATAACAGTCCAGAGAATTACTGTTCACTCTCCACAGAGATTACTTCAGCCTTTGTCCAGTTTTTGCCATGGCCCTATAAAAATGGTGAACAAGGGAAATTGAATGGCTTTACTTCCTCCTTGAAAACCCATGTCACTTTTCTTCTCTGGCAACAGTGAACCTGAGGTCACCTTTGCAGGTCCAGCTCTGATAATCAGGAGTATGGGGCATCCAGGAGTATGTGCAATCTTAGGTTCATGGGCCATGCACAACAACATGAATACTGTCATTTTATTCATCAATACAAAAATCAATACTTTTTATTTCCTCTAATTTACCCATTTCTCACTCTTGGAGATTCTAAAACCATGCACATTGTCCTTGAAACATCAGTCTTTGCAGGAGCACTTCCATGGAGCATAAACTCACTCTTGCTTTGCCCTCATCTAGGAGTCCCTGAACAACCTCTGCAGGCAGTATGAGGAGAAGGTGCGGCCCTGCATTGACCTCATCGACTCCCTGAGGGCCCTGGGTGTGGAGCAGGACCTGGCCCTGCCTGCCATTGCAGTCATTGGGGACCAGAGCTCAGGGAAGAGCTCTGTGCTGGAAGCACTGTCAGGAGTGGCCCTCCCCAGAGGCAGTGGTGAGAGCTCATGCTTATTGCCTTGCTAGGCTGTGGACCTGGGGCTCAAAGATAGAGACAGATCCCTCCCAGTTTGGGCCCACAGCAGAATGAAGGTCAAGGTGGTCTTTCTCCTTGACTGTGGGCAGCCTTTCCCCTGAGCAGCCTGCAGGTTCTTCTGCCTCTCACAAGGGCACTAGTCTCAGTGGTTAGGGCTCCACCCATGCAACTTCTCAAGCCTTCCTTCAGCCTAGGTTACCTCTTTTCAGGCTCTGTATCCAACAGTCACTGTAGGTGTTGGGGCTGAACCTATGTGCTGGGATGGGGCAGCTTTAGTCCATTGCATTGTCCCACTGTGCATTTCAAGAGCCACCTGAAACCTGCAGATTGCAGAAACTGTCACTAAGTAGTCAGGTACCACCCCCTTCCTTTGAGGTGACCATTCCCTTTGGAGAAGAGACTGGTGTCCAGGTTAGTGCTGCTGCTTAAACTCCATGGCTGGCGTGGTCATGAATGCTCAAGAAGAGATCAGAGCCCAAGTGTTCCAGGGACCCAGTGAAATCCCTTGGATAAGGCAGGAGTTGGAAGGAGATCATATCAGGGGGCATGAGGAAGTGGCCTGAGGGATGGTGACCAGGATGCATGGGGCAGGTGGGAGATGTCTGGTACATTAAAGGTTCCACCAGGGTCCCCACAGAGCTGAGGGTGCCACACAAGAAGGAAGCAGCCTGAAGTGGTTGGTGGCTTTTACCTCAAATGGATAAACATGACCTGGGTTCCTATTCCAAGAATATAGACCTGGGGTCTTACTGGAGAGACAGCATGAGAGTGAGGCCAGATGTTTCCATTCCCAGAGTCTCATGCAGATGAGTGTGTGTAAGTGTGTTAGTCTAAGGCCCTATAAGACACTGTGCTCACCAGAGCACTGGGCTAACATGGACCTCATCTCCTAGGTATTGTTACAAGATGCCCTCTGGTGCTGAAATTGAAGAAGCTGGAGCAGGGAAAAGAGTGGAGAGGCAAGGTCACCTATGATGACTTCGAAATGGAGCTCTCTGATCCCTCAGAGGTGGAAGATGCCATCAATAATGGTTGGTGTCCTGTTGTCCCTTATCCTCTGACTGCCTGTCAACACCACCTAGAGTCAGAGAAGTGTTGAGTTATTTTGTCAGGACCTTGTTCCAGCACCGAAAATGAAACCCCTTCAAACCTGCTGCCACCCAAGACACCAGGACAGAAGAGGCTTTGCATTCCTTTGGGTGGCTGTGGCACAGTACCTGGCAGAATGCCTTACAGGAGGACATACTTTCTCTCCTGGATTCAGAGGATTTTTGTCCAGGGTCACCTTTTCCTATGATCCTGGGAGGAACATTATTGTCACAGGAGCAAGTGGTGACAAAGAGGAAGCAGAGTGCCACAGCAAAGGACCAGAAATAAGACATATGGATCTGCTCCCGAGTGACCTACTTCCTCTAGCATGGTTCCACCTACCAGCATGTCAATAAGCTCAAAATATGATCAATTGAGGACCAACCCAACTTTCTATACAGGAACCCCTGGGGTAACTACATAACCAAGGCATACTTTCCCAGAGTTCCCTGGAATAAGATCCCTTCCATTTGCCTTCTAGTCTCCCCATTGCACCCCAACAAGCTTGACCATACTTCCTTTTTCCTCCTCTCCAGGTCAGAACTGGGTTGCTGGGAAAGGGCTGCAGATCAGTGATAAGCTCATTAGCCTGGATGTCAGCTCCCCGAATGTCCCAGACCTGACCTTGATTGATCTGCCTGGAATCACCAGGGTGGCTGTAGGCAACCAGCCTGTAGACATCGGACACCAGGTGAGACTCCAGACTCCACTCTGTGTACTGGGATGCAAAGGACACTGAAGTATGACCAGGGCCATGTCTAACAGGGACCTTGAGGATGTGGAAGTGAGACTGGACGGCCAGGATTTACTACAGAGGGATACAGTCCATGGAAGCCAGGACCTTAAGCAAGTGGATGGTCATAGCATCTCACTCTGGATCCTGTTTCCATAACTAGGAATCACTGTTGCTAGAGTTTTCCTGCCTTGCCCACAACTCTTTGT